AAGCAATGGAGTCAATGTTTTGTAATGATCCTTGAAGTTTTCTTTGACTAATTTTTGAAAGTAGTCAGCCAGACTTTTCTTCCTAGTTTGTCTTAGTCTGGAAGTTCTGCCATAATCAAACTGACTTGTGCTCCCAACAAATTTGCCCCCTAGAAACACTATACCTCTTTTCACCCTGGAGTGTCACTCACCTAGCCTGTCCTTTACCGCAGAGAGGCAGGCTCAAGGTGCAAGGGATGGTAGTAGAATTATCTATATTCTTAAGTGTTATACCTATCCCTTAAATTAGAAAATCAAAGCACCATCTCCCCAAGAGTCTGTGAGTTGGAGGATATGGATGCTATAGAAAAATGTGGTGAAGAAATTAGATGGTGCTGGTTGTCAGAAAGAATAGCATCTCCTGGGGGACGGACAGGGCAAGATATGACAAAAAAACAATTTATAAACTATCAAGGGCTCATGAGGGAGTGGGGAGCAGGGACGGAGGGGAAAAATGAGGACCTGATGCCGGGGATTTAAGTGGAGAGAAAATGTTTTGAGAATGATGAGGACAATGAATGTACAAATGCGCTTTACACAATTGATGTGTGTATGGATTGTGATAAAAGTTGTATGAGCCCCTAATAAAATGATTTAAAAAGTAGGGAGATTTCGTTTTTTTGAGATATTAAGAGATATGGCCACTATGAATAGTCCTGATTTTTCCCTGGTAAAATCTCGGTGTCCCTGTCACTTGTGGGCCTGTTTAATTTTTGTACCAGCCTGGTCTCTGAAGGCTTCTGAAATGTGGCACACCACACTTTCTCCCATTAGAACTGAGGTAGGACATCTGCTGGTGAAGCAAAACAGCAGTTGCTACCAAGTAGACTCCCAATCATGGTGCCTTCATGTGTGTCAGAGTAGACCTGTGCTCCATGGAACTTGCAATGGCTGATGTTAATGAAGGTTATAAAGGAATGCTTCCTTCTATAAAGAAATACAAAGGCTAGAGGATCAAGCAGCTCCTCTGCTAAAATACAGATAATATCTGCTCAAAGAAAATATCTCTGAGTAGACCTGCCCATGAGAAGTCATCGTTTCTCTACTGCCTGCATCTCTCAGACAGATGGAGAGGAGAGCAGTCTCTGCATTGCTTGGAAAGGAGCACACCTTCAGAAATGAGGGTGAGCCTCTCACATTCTTCCCCAAGAGTCCCTCCTAACTTTCTACTTAGATCAGCCATGTTCTAAGCAAGCAGCTAGAACAATTAAAGAAAATTTCTGTGTTTGGATAGCAGAGAAATGCCTTATAGACAACAGGGAGTCTTTAAAAAAATCTCTTTCCAGTAGCTAGAGAAGATTTTCTGAATAGGGTCAAATTGGAACAGGTTCAGTGTGAACTCAATCTTTCCCTCCTCTTATTTTCCATCTCTCCCCTATTAAGTCTTTGTGGATCAGTGACTCCACGAGCATAAAACCCCCGAATGCTTGCTAATCACCAGAGAGGGTCAGGCCAAATGACAGGAAACCAATAAAGAGAACTATAAAACTAAACAGCGTGGCTCCCAGATTCTCTCGGGATCCCACAAGGGTCTGGGGGGAGTTAACTCAACTGTATATATGCCTTCTAGACATTGAACTTGACAAACCCCAAGACTTTCCGGGACCTTTCACAGCCCATGGGAGCTCAAACTAAGGAAAGGAAGCTGAAATTCATCCAGAGATTTAAAGAAGTTGAGAAAACTGAAGGTATGTAGATGGCAACTTGATTTTTCTGATATTTATCTGAATGCCTAGAAATGAATAGTTGGTAATAATTTAGGCAGTCCTGTAATAGTGGCATCATTTGTGGGGTGCAGGTGGTATGGATCATAAAATGTGACACTGTTGAAGGAGTGACACTAAAATAACTATAAAATGTTTATGTACTGTTTCAGCAGAAATTTATCATTTTTAATAAAAATATCCTTATAGTTAGTTATAACAACAAAACATTCTTTAAAAGTTGGGTTTAGATGTACCAATATACCTAATCTATGATAGTTTACTTTTGGACTTCTAATCTGCTCCAGTCAAATCTATCATTATTACAATAGTTTGAGTCTCATGGCTTAGTTACCCCATGCTACAAGCACACGCTAGGTTTTGTTGCTGCCCATGATTTTATTGTCACTGATTTTGTAAGATTTTCTGGTATTTTAGCTATAATAATTAGTATTTGTGATCATATGTCATTAAAATTTTAATGAAAGAATAGTTAAAAGTAAAGAGGAAAAACTTTAAAGGACTGTCACTCAGGTGCTAATAATGCGACTAATAATGTTTGAATTTGATGTAGAAACATTTTGCAGAACAATTTTGCTGTTAGTATTCACGTAATCTATGAAACGTTACATTTAGGTTATTTACAGCTATACAGTCCATACTGTTCTATGATTAAACTTGATAATAAACATGTCTACTGATGATGCTGTATGGTTTGGTCTGCAAGAACGTCGGGGGGAGAAGAGTTTGTCACCATGAGTTACTGCACTGGATGACACCAGCCCTAGTGATGTCACTGTTCCCAAGCCTGAGGGGAAAATGCACAGGTGCAATGTTTTGCACCCTGCTGCCTGTAAGAATCACTGGAGAGCCTTTTTAAAACACTGATTTCCAGGCCCCATCTCTGGAAACACTGACTTCAGTAAGTTGTGATGGGATACACCTTCTGTGTGTAAGCTAGGACCCAAGAACTGTGGCACAAAGAGTGGACATGTGAACATAATTCCGTAGTTCAGGGCAGGTAAAAGCAGAGGAACTAACATTCATTCGGAGAGGGCAACTTGCATTTTTTACCTTGTGTTTTTCGCTCATGGCCACCTATGTCCAACAGAATAAAGTGCTGCCTGATCTTCCAGTAAGAGCACGTTTAGATACACAGCTATAGCTGTTGTGCCAATTCATCTCACTAAGCGTCTCCCTCACTCTCAGTGTTCTGCTTCACCAATCGTGTTACTCTCCTTCAGTGCTTGATCCTTCCTGATTTTAGGTCCAAAGCAATGGAGTCAATGTTTTGTAATGATCCTTGAAGTTTTCTTTGACTAATTTTTGAAAGTAGTCAGCCAGACTTTTCTTCCTAGTTTGTCTTAGTCTGGAAGTTCTGCCATAATCAAACTGACTTGTGCTCCCAACAAATTTGCCCCCTAGAAACACTATACCTCTTTTCACCCTG